ATTTCTATGTGTAATATTGCGATGTATTGTGGTTTCTAGGAGGATGGTGAAACTACAAAGAAAATCCCTAAGAAAAAACCTGTCAGAGTTGAAGATACCAGAAGCAAGAAAGAGCATGTCAATGTTGTGTTTATTGGACACGTAGGTTAGTATATGTATGATACATATTATACACCCTTATTTAAAATAAAATTTTAATTTAGTTTTTAATTCAGTTTTTTTATTTAATTAATATACTAAAATATATGAATAACTTACTTGCAGACGCTGGAAAGTCTACAATTGGTGGACAAATTATGTCTTTGACTGGAATGGTTGATAAAAGAACACTTGAAAAATATGAAAGAGAAGCAAGAGAAAAATCGAGAGAATCATGGTACTTATCTTGGGCACTTGACACTAATCAAGAAGGTATGGCATGCTTCTGTTTCTATTAGAAATTTAACCACAGATATTATAAGTATCTCAGTTTGACGCTATCATATATTTCTATATTTTAACAAAAATATTTTAATAAATTTTTATAGAACGAGATAAGGGCAAAACTGTTGAAGTGGGGAGAGCCTATTTCGAAACTGAAAAGAAGCATTTCACAATTCTGGATGCCCCTGGACATAAAAGTTTTGTACCAAACATGATTGGTGGTGCAGCACAAGCAGATCTTGCTGTCTTGGTATGTTAATCATATTATAATATAAAATAAATTATTTGAAAGTAGCCTTTCAATTGAATCTTTCATTATCATCAATGTATAGCAACTGTTCTTACAATACATGACATCTTTGGCTAAAATGATAAATTATATGTTTGAAAACTATCAATGGCAACTGAAATTGTTATAACTATTTTTCTCTATTCACAGGTTATATCTGCGCGTAAAGGAGAATTTGAAACTGGTTTCGACAGAGGAGGACAAACGCGTGAACATGCAATGTTGGCAAAGACGGCAGGTGTTAAACACTTAGTAGCACTTGTTAACAAGATGGATGATCCCACAGTTAATTGGGATGAAAAAAGGTTTTTTTTTTCTTTCAAATATTAAAAATACTGAAGAGCCGCAATATTGCTTTATAAAATGTACTACCTAAAAGCTCTTGCATATTTTAAATTATTAGTATTTCAATAATAGTTGTAGTTTATTATTGATTGAATCAGCCAAATCAATAATCAAGAAATTCACGCAATTATTTTCCTTTTATTACAGATACAATGAATGTCGAGACAAAATCCTGCCATACCTCAAGAAACTTGGCTTCAACACAGCCAAAGATCTTTCATTCCTTCCAGTATCCGGCCAAACAGGGCAAGGGCTATTGGAACAGGTAAAGAATTATGTTTTAGTATTTTCATTCAAACTTTACAAATTACTTTTTCTATTGGATTACAGTTTTTTTTTTTTTATTTAATTTGGTGCTCTGATATTTTGAAGGTTTAATAGTAGCAAAATAGTAGCATATATTAACAAAAAAATTCTGCCGACAACTCTAGAACAAGAGTCTAATACTTCGTTAAAACAAAAATAAGTTAGAGGGTAGTATGCAGTGATATTATACCGCTTTGGAATTGTCTATCTTCCAAACTATTGTATTTAGGAAAATATATAGTTTTTTTTAGTTTCAGTTTCGATTATAAGAAGACTCTATAATATATAAAGCTTATTTACCACTGACTGTCTACTTAAAGATTTTCAAATGTGTAGTCCTAGTACTAACTGAATAAAATGACTTCGATATACGAACGGACAAACATACTGCATATATAATGTTTCCGTTTGCTACTATTCGACTACCTAATAAAGTTATTTTGTATTATACAGGTATCGGAAGAGATCTGTCCTTGGTATCGCGGTCCCTCCTTTATCCAGCTGATCGACGAATTGCCATCGCTGAACCGCAAGATGGACGGCCCGTTCATAATGCCAGTGGTGGACAAATACAAGGACATGGGCACAGTGCTCATGGGGAAAGTCGAGGCGGGCACCACGCGCAAGGGGAGCACTCTCTTCCTCATGCCAAATAGGGTAAACTATATTATTAAAGGAATATAATCATAAAAAAAATAAATATACTTTCACCCATTTGCACAAACATCCATTAAATTAAAAGAATCATGTCCAATTTTGCTCTAAAAATTTAGTAATGCGTCTAGTGGTGTCTCTATATCTCAAAATGTAGCATATTTTTTTACTTCCTTCACTTATCAG